TTGCCGGTTCCAGGGATTAGGGCATGGACATCTTGGACAAGCCATCATTCTACCTACCACAATATTATAAATAATAATAATGATGAAACTCTGGTATTTAAAAACTCATTTCTACATCAAAAGCAAGCAAAATCTATTCACTCTTACTTTTTTTCCTCTTAGCCTTTTCTAAAGTAGATTTTTTCCCAAGATGCACAGTACCTAAAAAAAAAAATAGGTGCTAGTGAGAAAACAGAAATAAATAAATAGAGGTTGCAGATCTTAGCTAATTTATAGTGCAGAAGCCTTAAGTTTATAAGGGTGTTTCATTTATTGATTCTCTCTTTCTTCTGAAGAAACTAAAAACGTATTAAATTGAGGAGTCCAGGATTGGCCATGAGTTTTCCTTTATTTCTCAATAGGACTTTGAAAAACACCTTGAATACCTTAGTACTTCATTTCATGTAGGGATAGGAACAGGTATCCTATCCTGTCCAGGTCTTAAGTATTTTTTAAAAATACATTGGGAAATTTTATGTCTAAACACAGGAGTAAGACACACTGCCATTCAACTAGAGCTATCTTAAGCTTCAATTTAGAGTGATTTCTTTCTTTGTAGTTTTATTTATTTAATTTTATTGAATTTATTGAGGTGACATTGGTTAATAAAATTATACAGGTCTCAGGTATACAGTGCTACAATGCATCATCTGTATATTGAATCGTTATGTTCACCACCCCAAGTCAAGTCTCCTTCCATCACCATTCCCTCCCCTTTACTCTCTTGTACCTCCCCTACTCCATCTTCCTGCTGTTAATCACAATACTGCTGTCTGTGTCAATGTATGAGGGGTTTTTTCCCCTTTGCTAATTTCCTTACCCTTATCACCCAGTCCCTCAACCCCAACTCCCTTCTGACAGCTGTCAGTCTGTTCTCTGAATCTATGGGTCAATTCCTATTTTGTTTGTTAGTTTATTTTGTTCTTTACAGTTTTCTATAGGGGGTTTAAAAATTGAGGGGGTAAAGAGGAGAAAAAGAGGAACATATGTAACACTTTGAACAATAAAATAATTTTTTTTAAATGGCATGAGATCAAGGCTCCCAGGCCTTGGTGTGTGTTCAGAGGAACAGGAGCTCTGAGCTCAGACTCCTGATGTCCTAAGCCCAGCAACGGCAGTCCTTACCCTTCTCATCAGCACCAATTCTCAGTGCAAAGCTACAGGCTCCTGGGGGCTTATTCTGGGCACCGAATCCTGAAGAACCTTCAAGACTTCTCACTGCAGAGCTACAGGCTCCCGGGGGCTTATTCTGGGCACCGAATCCTGAAGAACCTTCAAGACTTCCCACTGCAGAGCTACAGGCTCCCGGGGACTTATCCTGGGCACCAAATCCTGAAGAACCTTCAAGACTTCTCACTGCAGAACTACAAGGTCCTGGGGGCTTATTCTGTGCACTGAATTCTGAAGACTCTATAAAAATTCTCACTGCAGAGGTACAGGCTCCAGGGGGCTTATTCTGTGCACTAAATGCTGAAGACACTTGAGAAACTCTCACAGCAGAGGTACAGTCTCCTGGGGGCTTATTCTGTGCACTCAATCCTGAAGACACTTGAAAAACTCTCACAGCAGAGGTACAGGCTACTGGTGGCTTTTTCTGTGCACTGAATCCTGAAGACACTTCAGGACTCCTCACTGCAGAGCTACAGGGTCCTGGGGGCTTATTCTGTGCACTGAATCCTGAAGGCACATCAGGGTTTCTCACTGCAGAGCTACAGGGTCCTGGGGGCTTATTCTGTGCACTGAATCCTGAAGACACTTCAGGATTGCTCACTGAAGAGGTACAGTCTCCTGGGGGCTTATTCTGTGCACTGAATCTTGAAGACATTTCAGAAATTCTCACTGCAGAGCTACAGGTTACTAGTGGCTTCTTCTCTGCACAGAATCCTAAAGAATCTTCAATACTTCTCCCTGCGGAAGGAACAAATATTTCTTAAAGATCTCAGTGTATGACATAGGAACTGGAAGAGTAAAAAGTGTGGGAAGCTCTGAAAACCCAGGTTTAGAATATCCATTTCTCAGACCTATATGATCTGCCTTTTGAATTCTTATGACCTGTAGGTTAACATTTTATCCCACACTGTCCCCTGAGTCTGAACTAAGATATTTCATTCTCACTGGGCTTCTCTGATTTCTTTCTTTTAAAAAATACTTTTTCTTATTGACAATGGAGAGTGTGTGCATGGGAGAGGGAGAGAAACATCTATGAGAGAAGAACATCATGGATCAGCTGCCTCCTAAACACAATCTTATTGGGGACAAAATCTGCAACCCTTGGCAAGTGCCCTGATGGGAAATCAAACCAGAGACTTCTGCGTGCATGGCAGGCTGCTAAGCCAACTGAGCTACAACACCCAGCGTTTCTCTCTGTGTGTTTTTTGGCACTCTGTATTTTGCACTACATTCACCTTCTTCTCTTACATGTAGCTAATGGATTTCTGTTCATGCCTGTAATTATATTATATTTTAGTTCTGCCTCTTTCCCAAGGTGGTCTTAGAAATCTGGTATTGAAGAAGGCAGATGTCTCATTTGTATGCTTTCCAGAATGACTTTGTTAAATAGAGTCCCTTCCCAGTTTTAAAACCTTTTGGAATGTTTGCTTGAGAAAAAATTTTGAAATTGTATTGTGTTTGAGTGATTTATTGACCCTTTAGGGTTATTTGTCATAGCCATTAGCCTAAGTAACACAAAAGTTAAAATATAAACTATCTTAAATTGAAACAAATTTGTTTTTCCTATAAAGGAAGTAGCAAAAAATTAAAATGAATCTTTTGTATAAAAAAACAAAAACACTTGTTGATTTATAACCATTAAAAGTTCTTATTTGCTTGCTCTTACCTGTTTTGCAAAGTATTTTTCCAGATGTAGGTGATTTTCTGAAATCCATGGACTCTATAAAGTAAAAGAGAGAGAACAGCAGTATTTGTTTGCAGTGCTCTTACAGAATCTATGACAACTCACACAGCAGATTGGGTTTATGATAATGTCAGTGTTGAGATGATCATATTTCTCTTTCTCTCACTTGAACCCAGTTCTGATGCTCCCTGACCACCATAATGCTGGGCTCCTGCCTGGTGCTCCCATTTACTTCCCATGTGAATTTGTAAATAACTCTCAAACATTATCATCTCCTACACTACCATGATGAGATAACCTACTTACCCTATCTCCCAGTTAAGGTTTTGTGAAAGAAGTGAAATTTAATTCACAAAAGCATGTGAAAAATCAAAATGTAAGTCAATCCTTTAAGTATCATTTGGGTTTGAAAGTAGTTGGTCTAAACCATTTATCCCATTAATATTT